TCAGCTACATACGTGTGAGCCGCCGACTGTCAATATTTTCGTCTTTTGCATTTTTCCTCTACTATTATAATCCCACACCAACGTTTTGTTTCACCTACTTCTGCATTTTTTGGACAAAATTTTCTTATAGTCAGCATTACTTGGAATAGATTGTCTTTGCATTAATATGAACCAAACAACCATAGTAAGGTACACTCTCTGTAAAACAAATGGAAACTCTGATTTGACAGCGCTCGTGCAATGAATGTGCGCCGTAGGGAATAGATTTTGGATTTCCAAGTGGACAGTATGAGTTTAGCCGAATCTTGAGCATCCACTGAGTATTTAGCGCTTTGAATCACTTGTTTACTTCCTAGCGTTCATGGCGTGCTGCGAGATACTGTGAGAAGCAAAGTTTGCTTGTTTAGAAGTGGAACTGATATGGCTCTAACAGTTGCGTACTGTGGATGGTGATGAACTCCGACACTTCGGTTTTGAAACTGCTTGCAAAATGTGTCACTGGTCGTTAATTTTCCTTGCATAGAGTGACCTGAAATACAGTGACTGATCTACCTTAGAGTGTGCCTTGGACATTGCTTTAAGTAAAGGTAAAAGTAGTAGACTACTATCGCTCTGGTACTCTATGTGCAAGACTGTGAATAATGACCATACTGTTACTAACTGTTAGAGTGTTGAATGCTCTGTCCGCTATTCCCGAACTACTTGCAGTAAATTATAGGGACATTCTAATTATCCAAACATGAACCCACAACACAATAATTATGTACAGTTAACTTCGCCAATAACGACATTCGGCGGGGCATCAGAAAAGTGTCCTTATTCGCGAAGTGTCCTTATAACCGAAGTCCCATTTGAATGTATGTGAACCCATATTTTGTATAGTATGATATGCATATCAAAATCAAGCTCTTTTCTTGCTCTATGTCAATGTGTACTTTATTTTCATATTGCAGTTGAAAGGAACTAAAAATTCAATATGCAAGGGAAATCAATTGAAAAATATGCCTTTTTGAGCCATCTACAGGGCCAGAGACATGTACATTGTACATGTATGATGATTACTGTGCAATCATGTACAGCTACATGTACATTGCATACATATAGGTGTGCTGGTAAATCCAACAATTTTGAAGCCAACATAAAAAAGGAAGAAAAAGCCCCCCCCCCCTTGGCTGCATTTTCTTGCATGTGTGCAATAATATCCATCACCAGTGCACCATAGGTTCTGGTACTTCTGCATGACAGGTACATGTACTTGACTGACAGGTACTTGAAATAGCTGTCAAAAGCCCAGAAAGTCGTTATTCAAGCAGTGAATATGACCACGGGGCACTAAAAGCATGTCGCTATACGCGAATTGTCGTTATTCAGATAGTCGTTATATCCGAAGTTAAATGTATACAGTTAGATGGGACTTTGCTCTGGGCATGGAAATTCGGTCGTTATTCGCGAATTGTCGTTATATCCGCAGTCGTTATTAGCGAAGTTGACTGTAGATCAAAATGCTCTCATGGTCACGCAGAGTTGCGCTATGGACCTTCGACACAAATTTTACGGACACTGAACTGACCGGCACAGCCTGCTCGTGCAAACTGAACTGACCAGTAAAGTGTACAGTGAACTTCGAATTACACTTTGCTAACTTCGAATTATCAGCACAAATCCCACACATTTTCTATGTAAGTTTTTGATTTTTTTTATTGATTGATCTTTATTTCACGGATCCTCCAGAGGCAAATAGATGCCTATCGAAAGGAGTATCCTAAGTAATTATTATGGAAAATGAGAAAGTATGTTCGTAAGGGAGAAGAGGTAGAAGATACATTAGAACAAGAGTACAAAATAAGTGATTTCAGTACTTCGGGTGGAATCTGTGGGACTTCTAATTAACCGTACATGTCCAGTTCGAGGTTCGAATTATCAGAATTTTTTATGTGGGAATCGTATTGATAGAAATAGGTCCTGGAAAAACTTCTAATTAAGCGGAATGTTCGAATTTATTTTAATTATTTATTTATTTTTTATTTCTGCACCTCGTGGCATGTCAGGACAGCCAATTGAATTGAGGAGAGGGTAAGACCAACCACGGAAGAAGAGAAAAAAGAAAATGAAGAGCACGTACACAAAGTGGGAAGGGTTTAACAATTATTTACAAAGCGATGGGATGCTCAGCGAGCTATGCAGCGGAAGTGGGGACTGTGACTTTGTTTACTGGGAGATACTGAATTGCTGTCAGACGAGGGTACGGAAGTTGGGCATATCTGTAGCTTGTCTAACACTGGGAGGCAGTTGGAACGACGTGGAGTAGGAGGAAAAGATAGGGGAATTTACGAATAGGGTAGACCTAGCTAGGGGGAGACGAACGCAGCTTCGGGTGGTACCACCTGAAATGAACCAATTAAGGGACTGTAAATGAGCAGAGTGCTGGTCTTGAAAAATTGAATGTGGCAGGGTACACTGGGAAGCATCAAGGTAGTGTTGCAGAGTGGTAGTGGATGCAGCAGCATACAAATCTAGATTTGAGATATAACGATCATTACGAAATATGAAATTAGAGGCCACATGCCACGTACTGCTCTTTTCTCTCCGAAACTCAACTGTTGCAAGCCAGATATGAAAGAAAGAAAAAATCATCTGTCACACCACCGGGACTCGAACCAGGGACCTTGCTATTCGCGAGCAATGCTCTAACCAACTGAGCTACAGTATGACTCTTATCCACAGTGATGGTAAATCTATCCTTCTTCGATCAATCCATATCTGGCTTGCATCATACTGGCAACTCACCCCAATCAAGAGGGCCCTCGGCCATTCGCTTGATATTATGGGGAGCGCATCAAACTATTTCCACTGCGAGCAAATACAAATTGCAATTTCAAATTTGGACTTGATGGAGAATTTCAAAGTTTTAGGAAATTAGAGGCCAGTTGGTTAGAGCATTGCTCGCGAATAGCAAGGTCCCTGGTTCGAGTCCCGGTGGTGTGACTGATGATTTTTTCTTTCTTTCATATCTGGCTTGCAAGAGTTGAGTTTCGGAGAGAAAAGAGCAGTACGTGAAGAGGGGAAGAATGTATGATTTATAAAAGATAATCCGGCAATTTTGGGGCAAATGGGACAAGGGACTTGACATTATGCCGAAAGATCGGTATACTTTGGACGAGACATGATCAGCATGGTGAGACCAGGAGAGGGCGGAATCTATGACAATGCCTATGTGTTTATGGTGAGGCGCTACAGAGATAGGGTGACCGGGATCATCAGGAAAGTGGAAGATTGGCACTGGACCTGTGGGAGGGGGAAAAAGGAGGAGCTCGGTTTTGGTCACATTTGGCTTAAGGTACCAAGTGCTCATCCAGTGAACAATGTCGTTGATACAGGGCTGAACTTTGGGGTACAGGGTGGCATGAGATGGAGAGGAAGCAAGGACAGTGGTATCATCTGCAAACAAAGAAATATCGGGAATTGGATAGGGGAGGTCATTAACGTATGTGAGTAATAGAAGGGGACCTAAAATGGAGCCCTGGGACACTCCGGATGTCACAGACTCGGGGTCAGATAAGGTTCCATTCACTGTGACGCACTGATTTCGGTCCAAGAGGTAGCTAGTTATCCAGGCGAGTAGGGAGCCGGAGACACCACGGGCACAAAGTTTGGCGATCAGGCCCTTGTGCCACACGGTGTCAAACGCCTTGGAGAGGTCGAAGAAACAGATGCAGAATTAAGCCATATTCGAATTATCAGGATTCCACCTGTATATTGCTTCGCATGTTCGTTGGTGCTAGAATTGCTAAAACACAAAGAAATTATCTTGATTTTACGTGTCCAACATGCTTTGTTAATAGGTTTTTCATTTGACCCGAAAAGACCACACAAAGCTTACAGACCACAGCACGAACAGTTCACCAGCCAAACTACACGAAAGCAAGTAGCATTACTCCTCACAAGTGTTGCTTCTCCTCTAATGAGTTCCCCGTCATCTTTATGGAACGAAACAAGACTTGTCAGGAGTAATACTACTTGCTTTCGTGGAGTGTGGCTGGTGAACTGTTCGCGCTGTGGTCTGCAAGCGTCGTGTGGTCTCGTCGGGCCAAATGAAAACCTTTTACTGCTATTTTGACGGACCTATTGAAGATGGCAACAAAGAATTATGCTTTGTTAAGCACAACATGCATTCGGGATCTCTATTAGCCCTTTTCCAAAGGTGCTCTTTTAATTCGCACTTAGTGCTTTTCGCGTCCCTCAAAATATGCTGAAAAAGTGCTCTCTTTTCAGTGAAAACAGGCAAAAAAGCGCTCTTTTTTCAGTGAAGCATAACCATGATACATGTTCAGATATGAACCCAAGCTGAGAAATGAATACGCACTCTTCCATTTATGGGTCCACGAAAGGCAAAACAGGAAGTAAAGTTTAAAAAACCCACTTTTTACAGCATTGTGTACACCGGGTACAAGCTTCACCAACTAACTACTTGTTGCCCCCTAAAAAAGCGGCTTGCCAAGGTCCATGGAAACTCAAAAACTGTGATCGCATGCAGGAGCAAACAGATTTTAGCACTTTTTCAGCTAAAAAAGCTCAAAAAGGGCGATATTCAACAAAAAAACGCAATAAAGGGCGAAAGAAACGGGCTTTTCCAAGAAGGGCCAAAAAGGCGAAAAAAAGGGTGAGCACCTTTGGGAAAGGGCTAATCTCTATGACCCTCAGTGTGCTGGTAACAATATACTTTGACTCTGTACTACGTCTGTACTATGCTGATAAGTTACACACAAGCATTTATTCCACCTCCTGGATATTGCCAGCCAAAACCAGCCTTACTTGAATGTTCACCAGTTGCATAATTATGTTCCAAGTGTGGTCAAAGTTCCCTGAAAATAGCGATCGACGAACCCGGGCATGTAAAATGTCTTACTTTTTGATTTCCCATGGAACCGCCCCGGGGTCACCAGGCAAGGAAAGGGAGTTCAATTCGAACTAACTTTCCGTCACTGACCAACATTTCCATATCTTAGGTGAAAATTAATTCCGCAGCAGTTCTGAGCACTGTTCATCAAGTAAACACAATAGCACCACCACACAAACCGAAACATTTTTTCATGCATTACATGATCGTTCAAATATTTGACGGAGATTGGTACACTGTATATGGAAAGCTGTGGAAAAATCAGAGAGAATTCAGTGTGTTGTGGTAGAAAATATATTTCTAGAAGGGCTTGTCATTGAGAGGTCCGTCGTTAGCAACATCAGTCAGCTCAGGTGGAGCTTGCTTGCCGCTCAACAAGGGCGCCTGAAACACTTGGATGCGAATTACACAAACATTGTTGATCTGAACCTGCAGAGAAAGTAGCACAAAAAAACAGGCCGTTCCAATGAAAATAATACACATGCTACTGGGTTGATCAGAATTACGAAGTCATAATCATTAAAATAAGTTTCCAAAGTAAGTGTTTTTTACTTGAAAGTAAGTTTTGATGTCATGCATGAACATAGTAGAAGGTCTCAATTTTAACCGTTGAAATATGAACACATAACTCTTTGCATTTGGACACGAGACGGACAGGTAATAGAATGAATCAGGTAGCTGCACCCGCACCTTGACCTTCGAGAATGTTGGCTTTCCCACGGATGCAGAAAACTTAGTCTTACTATCTAACACGTTGATGATTTGAGAGAATTTGAAATTATAGCACCACTGTTGGTACTAGATCAGAGTTTGACGAAAGCAAATTAGCTGTGTTATGCTAGTAGAGTTCTCACCCTGATGCGGTAGTTCACTCCTGCGACTACCTGCGTGATGTAGTCCAGAGCTGTGAACATGGTAAGTTCTGGTGAGTTGATACGGTCCTCAACAGCCTTCTTGACCTGAGAACAGTAACAGCATGTTAAAGATATGCAGTATGAACGCAGTGAAGCAATGAAAATGAAGTACATGTTCATGCAAGCTAGGTGCAGCGAACTTTAGAGGTGGTGCTTCCACCTAACAAGTGATTTTCATTCTATGATGCAGAACGTTCTTCGCCGTATAGTCTCTGAACTGCAGTATACATTAACGGAATGTATGGGGAAAGTACTAGTACTCATTACTTATACACAGGACAAACACATGGATTCACACACACAGTCACTGTCACAAACACACACGTCAACACACGTACACACGCATGCACACGTAACACACACACACACAAACACACACACACATTCTAGTCACTTACTTGGTCGCAGATTTTCTGAACTTCGGCATCGGCCTTCCGGGGAGGTTGACTCCATCCCCCACACTTAATTGGTTCCTGCTGCGCCATTGTTGATTGAATGTGATTTTGAAAGAAGAGATACTGCTTGCATGCGGTAACAGAATTGTGAGGAAATCATGTCCACTTCTCATAGTTAAATACTAGCAGTACTAGTACTCCTCACTTGATGCTCTGCACTGAGCCCCGGGCCCCGCGGGAGTACCTGCGCACGCATGATCTCGCGACTCATTGAGATCATCGCGATCCTACGTTCGCTGCAGCAGCGTTCAACGCGTCTACAGTGTACACCACATGCGTAGGAGCCGCCAACCACATTATGATCGCTGTCAGCGGCGAGGACTTTGAACTGTTCGCATTGAAAACTAACCATACTCCAGCACGTATCGTTTTCGAGTGACACCCATGTTGGCGACAATTCCGCTACCTGCTGTTGTGATCAGAGCTGTGGTGCCTCGGGGAGTGCTTTACTCAGTTAGGCAGTTAGGTAACACCGGGATTGATCCATCCGCTGTGTCACTGTATTCATTATGATATTCCCCGAAGAACCCCAAATTCTACGGTCACCCATCAGCGAAGTCTGGATGGGTGTCACTGGAGTGAGTACGCGCGCAGGAGATAAACAACAGGAAGTAAATTAGGTTCTGCAGCTCACCTGCGTGTATGCGCGTGGGGTTTGTGTGTTAGCGCTGTGTGTGTGTGCGTGCGTTTGCGTTTGCGTGTATGCGCAATGTCCATGAATGCGTTTGGGTGCATTGGCATACGCTTTTCTTAACTACACTTCATTGTGCATTGTCTCCAAGTACATGTACATGTACATGTAGTGTGACATTACTATCCCACTACTGTATCGGCTTTGACTGCATCAGCTGAGGCCGCAGTGCTGTTCAGTGCTCGCCACTCGATGACACCCTATGGCTGGCATATGGCAGGTGCTACTGGCATGAGACTTGTCCGCCAGCTGTTGAACATACCAAGGCCATACTCATGCTCAGATTCGATGTACTAACCCGGCATTCACTCCCGGCGGCCGCGATGAAAATAGCAGTTCCCGTGAATTAGCAAGTTCTGAGGCCAATGAAGAACGAGTGTGTATGCACTGGGACAAAGGACGGCCATGATTTTGAAATAGTTATACTATACTGGCAACGCTGGACAGGTCAGCATAAGGTTTTTCACTGGCGCCACGTCAAGAATGCCCATGCGGATGTGACTCCTGGCCTGTTTTTTCTGTGTCCCTCACTGACCCCCTAAACCAGGAATTGCTAACATACATGTACGTGTACATGTACAGCTTACACAGGCCAATTAATGTTTGGCAGCTGGGCTACCTGTCAATGATGAGCTGCTTGTTGATCTTCAATACATTGGGTCTCTTAGTCCATTGTTGCACCACAAAAGAATTATCGGAACCCACTGCCTGCAAACCATGGTGATGACTGGTGGACGTGTTGTTGTGTAATGCTTGGTTATGTCCTCAACGTGAATGCCGTGAATGCGAGAGAACATGAACTGCATAAACATGCAGGAACTAACAGCTGAATTAGTTGATGCAGAAACGCCATGAATGAGTTAAACTTTAAACTTTGTTTTCAAGAAGTTGATTGCTCCAACGAGTGTTCTAGTTATTAGCTTTGTTTTCATTTTTAGAAAGGATGCATCACACATGGCTCTTTTACTTGTCTACGATTTTTGCATGAAATGTCTCCCCATTGGGTATATTGCATCTGATCATCCATTTACATTATTCAACACACATCAGTTCGACTTCCTGTCTCTTATTTTGCTAGTATAATTTGTTCTGTTGCCGCTTTTGATGTGGCGTTCGGCTTCTGATGTATATGTAAGTGGGTGGCAGAGAATTGAACAGCTGCAACGCATCCAGTGATTGAGTTGCATGTGAATCTTTATGGAACTCAATTATTGTAACGATTTGATGCATTACTTTACTCCTACCCAAGGGAAGAAAAGTAAAATCCAACGGCTGTGGGTATCACTTGAACCGTGTAAAACTGTTTGCATGGTTGCAAATGTACCCTTACTCATGTACCTACATACACATGTACATGGATTCTGTGTTCTCTATGCGGTCCAGCTCCGACGCTGTCTCCGGTTTTGCCAGTCACTTCAATTGCATTTAGTGTGTCGTGGTGCGTGTTCAACTATAGCTTTTCCACTCAACGTCTCCGCGCTGGAGCATACAGGTATACTGAGGACATGCAGTTTAAATTAGGAGTTTCAAAGTCTCTTCATGGCCCATACAGTTCTTGTGTCTGCTTAGCTGGTAGGTAGAGTTAACACAGTCAAGAAAGTCATAAGGAGGAGGTGTGAACTTGACAATTGTGTATTATTGAACACACTAGCAAGCAATAATCTGTACACAAAAAGCGAAAACGCAATATTTTTAAAACGTATGCTAAAGCAAAAGCCGGCAGCAATACCCACGTCGGCACAACACAACGTGTAGACTGAAGAGAGGTAAAGATATCCGATTGGAATAGAAGTCCAATAAGTGTTAGTTGCTTCCTTCTTCAACCCTTCCCTGCTGGCCTGTATGCACCTCGTACTTAATGACATACTCACCTTTTGTACCATTGGCCTGGGGCGTTTTCTATATCCTTTTCTTTATCATTCAGGAAACGTCATCAAAAGGTGAACTGCCTTAGGGATAATCCTTTTAAATAAATAAGTCAATAAATAAATAGAAAATGGACTCGGCTGGAGAGCCCAGGATTAATTTTAGAAGAAAAAAAGTACAAAGGAACTTCAAGTTACGCTAAAATGTCCACTAACACCACCAGTTACTTACCATTATAGCGTAACTTGTAGTTCCTGGGTTCTTTTTTCTTCTTTTTATAAATGAATAGATAACTTGGGCATTGAGCAGCAGAAGGTATAACGAAACATATACAGTGGAGTTTTGACCAAATATCTACAAATGAACTAGATACAAGTGCATGTACTATGCGGTAATAGCCAGAGAGAATACAAGCTTGAAGGAAATTGGTTTGTGCATCGTAGATGGGTTTAAATTACATGAAGGTATCCAGTCGAGTACTCTGTCGCTTTGACCTTAGTTAAAGGACATAATGGCATCTAGTGCCTGTGGTGGATATTTGATCAGAAATCGTCAACACGTATCCGACCTCCTTTGTACATCACAGTGACGTGTTCGGTTAACAGCATTGCCTTTCACTGACTGGGGATCAGTTTGTTAGGGCTCAGTGTGATGAGAATCACAATTAGAGTATAGCACTTAGGTAAAGTAAATTATCGTGTCCGTTCCCGAACGTATAATATTGGGTATTATCTTGGAATGTTCTGTGCCGACGCATACCTAATGCGTTTCGTACTTTCCATATCATTATATCCGGTCCAGGTACAAATCAACAGTGTTTGTGAAATTCGTGTGGCAGTGAGCGTATCTCCGCTGGGACCACCCGTCTTGGGGGATGTCAAAAGCGATGGACCTTTGCTGCCCTGAACTCTGCTTGACATTCGCTAAGGACTGATAACCTTAAAAACTAAACGTCACCCCTTTAATATCTAATCTGTAATCTCGTAACCTAAGAAGACTAAAAAAACCACTCATGTTCGCGCTCTCCTATGCTTCTTTGAATTACTGATTCCCATCCTGTAGCGTTTATTTAATTTTTCTCGAAGTGTTACATGTATTTCGCTTCCCGAAAATTTTCACGGAGGTCTGTCTAATCTTTCCCATCTTGAATTTTGGTTTCCTTGTCTTTGCATGCAATTCAGGTGCAAATCAACACCCTTTGTGAAATTATTCTGGATGTGAACATCCCAGGAGAGGGAGCACCCTCTTTGAAGGGCGTGAAAAGCAATGGACCTTTGCTTCAACACTAATAATGCCGCTTTTTATCTCGTCAGCTACATACGTGTGAGCCGCCGACTGTCAATATTTTCGTCTTTTGCATTTTTCCTCTACTATTATAATCCCCACACCAACGTTTTGTTTCACCTACTTCTGCATTTTTTGGACAAAATTTTCTTATAGTCAGCATTACTTGGAATAGATTGTTTTTGCATTAATATGAACCAAACAACCACAGTAAGGTACACTCTCTGTAAAACAAATGGAAACTCTGATTTGACAGCGCTCGTGCAATGAATGTGCGCCGTAGGGAATAGATTTTGGATTTCCAAGTGGACAGTATGAGTTTAGCCGAATCTTGAGCATCCACTGAGTATTTAGCGCTTTGAATCACTTGTTTACTTCCTAGCGTTCATGGCGTGCTGCGAGATACTGTGAGAAGCAAAGTTTGCTTGTTTAGAAGTGGAACTGATATGGCTCTAACAGTTGCGTACTGTGGATGGTGATGAACTCCGACACTTCGGTTTTGAAACTGCTTGCAAAATGTGTCACTGGTCGTTAATTTTCCTTGCATAGAGTGACCTGAAATACAGTGACTGATCTACCTTAGAGTGTGCCTTGGACATTGCTTTAAGTAAAGGTAAAAGTAGTAGACTACTATCGCTCTGGTACTCTATGTGCAAGACTGTGAATAATGACCATACTGTTACTAACTGTTAGAGTGTTGAATGCTCTGTCCGCTATTCCCGAACTACTTGCAGTAAATTATAGGGACATTCTAATTATCCAAACATGAACCCACAACACAATAATTATGTAGATCAAAATGCTCTCATGGTCACGCAGAGTTGCGCTATGGACCTTCGACACAAATTTTACGGACACTGAACTGACCGGCACAGCCTGCTCGTGCAAACTGAACTGACCAGTAAAGTGTACAGTGAACTTCGAATTACACTTTGCTAACTTCGAATTATCAGCACAAATCCCACACATTTTCTATGTAAGTTTTTGATTTTTTTTATTGATTGATCTTTATTTCACGGATCCTCCAGAGGCAAATAGATGCCTATCGAAAGGAGTATCCTAAGTAATTATTATGGAAAATGAGAAAGTATGTTCGTAAGGGAGAAGAGGTAGAAGATACATTAGAACAAGAGTACAAAATAAGTGATTTCAGTACTTCGGGTGGAATCTGTGGGACTTCTAATTAACCGTACATGTCCAGTTCGAGGTTCGAATTATCAGAATTTTTTATGTGGGAATCGTATTGATAGAAATAGGTCCT